CCGCCTCCCAAGTTGCTGGGACCACAGGCGCCTGCCACAACACCTGGCTATTTTTTTTTTCAGATGCAGCCATCATTGTTGTTTGGAGGGCCCAGGCTGGATTCAAACCCGCCACCTTAGGTGTATGTGGCTGGCGACTTAGCCATTTGAGCCACAGGTGCTGAGGTACAGTCAGTTTTCTTAAATGAATGTCGTTTCACTTGACACTCTCAGCTTAGGACAGGTTTTTACTTTGAATAATGTACCGATATCTTTTGATCTCACCTGATTTTCCAAGACAGAGGAAGTATAATCTATAGCATAGCATTCTAAGTTTGAGATTAAAACCATGGAAATGCTGGGAGAAGAGAAAAGAAAAATGTTTCTCATCACTAGCATTTTCTATACTTTGAGTTCACTTCTTTCTTCCTATTTTTTTTTAATTTTTGCAGTTTTGGCCGGGGCTGGGTTTGAACTTGCCACCTCCTGCATATGTGGCTGGCGCCCTACTCCTTTGAGCCACAGGCACCACCCTGTTCACTTCTTTCTTACTGTTCTGCAAAATTTTGACGGTACTTTACCTTTTATTTTTTAAATTCCTCGTTGTGATTTTGCAGTTCCCCTGATAGAAACTCAGGGGTGTCTGCCCGTCATTGAGCAGAGAGCCGAGGTCTGTCGCACTTCAGCACAGCCAGATGGGTTCGCCTGAATCTTGGGTCTCTGATTACGTCAGAGCTGGACCAGCCGGCCATCCTTTGTAATCGCAAACAACTTTTGCTTCTCTACAAATTCTGTTCTAATCAAGTGTCCCAACCTTTTTAATTTTAGGAACGAAATCTGTGTCATTCCAGCCACTGTGCTGTTCAGATACTCCCTTGTTCTGAGAGTGATGCTTGTCACACCTGCCTGGGCATCACGACCTCCTGACAAAATGGAACGAGCACCTGAAACCCCAGGGCCCAGCCCCGGCCCCCTGCCCGGCTGCCCTGGGACGGTGGCAACTGCTGGGGGAGGCCAGACACTGTGGGGCAGGGTCATTCTTTAGGAACCTGGGTTGGTCACTCCCTCCTATCTTGACAGGACCTCCACATGCCAGCCCTGCCTCGAGGTCCCCTGTCACTAAATGACTCAGTTTTCTCGCAGCATAGTGACTTGGGGGGCTGCTGGGTGGCTCATTTCTGGAGATGAGTGCAGTAGAATTTTCTGCCCCAAGGACATCAGGCTTAAGATGCTCTCAGTTGGGTGTCCCATCCCTGTTCTCGGGAAATCGGGCAGCATAGACCACATGGGACAAGAAGGTGGCAGAGGAAGTCTGTCCAGGTTACTCAACAGTCATGGAGCCGTAGCTCTGTAGTCTCAGTGTGACTGCTCAGCCCTGAGGGCTTGCTGTACAGAGGTCGTTATCTAGTGTGGCTGCGGGCAGGTCTGCCTATAGGAGACCTTTCTCTTTCTGCACTTGGCTGCCTGTAATTGAAGGGGAGTGTTAACACTAAAGACACCTCTCTCCTTCTCTTGATGCTGAAAGGAGCCCCCGTCGATGCTCAGGAGAGGAGAGGATGGCGCAACCAGAGGCAGCAGGCCCGTGGCCTCCACCCCCGTGCCTGGATCCCCGTGGTAAGATGCTTGAAAGCCTGAGAGCCAGAGAAACGGCGCTGTCCTGTCCCAGCATTTGCCAGATGTTGCCCAAGGGAAAATGCATGCTCCTGAGGGGTATTGTGCTTTAAAAAATGAATCTGCAGTGCACGGCAGGTGTAATTCTACACTACTGTCACATTCTGCAGGGAAAAAATAGCGTTCAAGTGATAAGTTGTCCTGCTCTGATATGTTTGTGAAAATGCATGATATCGGCAGCGCTATCGCACAGCTATCAGTGAAAGGTGGGGGGTGAAGAAAATGCAGCAGCCGCAAGCTGAGAGGACTTTTCCTCCACGCCAAGAAGAATCGTAACTGAAGGTTAATTAAAGACGTGCCTCGCTCTCGGGCATCCTGGGAGGGTTCCCATCTCTGAGTACGCCACACTCCAAATACCTTCCACGAGGGAGCCACAGTCTTTGGTTTTTAAAAATGCCCTTTTATAATGGAGTCATTTGGAAGCAGAATAAAAAGGTTATTATAGTAAAAATTAGTTTTAAAACCTGAAGATTAGAGTGCAGTATACAACTGGGAGGAACAGCTAATTTAAAGAACAGAAATAGCAAGGCTGGTGTCCGTGCAGTGAGCTGGCTTCAGTGCGCAGGGCAGCAGCCTGCTAATGGCCTCCGTCCCACACCAACCTCATCTATGACGTTGGGCCTCCCTGGCACCTTGGGCTTGTTGCTGCAGCTGTGCCCTGATCCCCTGTCATCTATGATGGAAAACCCTGCTCTTAGCTGGGGGGACTGGATGGTGGGTGGGGGTGGCTGATAGCCTGCTGCCCAGGCTGGGGCACTTCTGTACCCTGGGGGCTCCCTAGGGTGAGGCCTCCCATTCTGGGGCTGTGCTGCTGCCTAGGAACCCTCGTTCTCCAGCTTCTGGATGTCCTGGGAGTCAATTTGGTCCTGACCCTACTGGAGTCAGGTCACACCCCACAGGCTAAGGCTCAGTGCCACGAGGCTGCCCCCACCCCTTTAGACGGTACCTGCAGACAGGGTCCCGGCTAGTTCTGCTCAGCTAACCTCACCTTCAGGTTTCCTGTGACTTCCCACCTTCCCTACCCCCCACCCCGGGTCTAATTTTCTAGAATGACTCACAGAACTCAGGAGAGCACTTTCCTTATTTATAGTTTTATTATAAAGAATGGATCTTGGGAATAGCCAGGGTGGGGGGACAAGGCATAGGACAGGGTGGGGGACAGAATGTACTTTCTCACCCTACACAGCCCAGCCCTGCATGCCCAGGCTCGATGGTGCCTTGGCTCCTGGGCCACAGACCTGTACAGCCTGTGAGGGTGCTAAGTGCTGCTTCTGGCGGCTGTGACACACGTATGTGTGTGTGTGCACGTGTGTGCATGTGTGCGTGTGTGCTGAACTCAGAAAAAGGACAGCAGCAACACCTGTGTAGTCTCATGAGACCACTGTCTTATATGTGGTCTGTGGTCAACCAGCACAAAATGTTAGTTATATGGCACATGACTGAAAAAAATATACATATACGTTTGTTCTTACTTATGGTTAACATGGTAGTACCCTACCATTAGGTCACATTGTTTGCGTTAGTGAGGTAAAGTCCTAGTTGTAGTTGTGACCTTCACCCGGGAAGTGTCCATGTACCCGTACATCCCACCTGCTAGGTAGAAACTCACAACCCCGTCCCTCCTCCTCCCTCCTTTCCTTCCCCCTCCCTCCCCCCCTCCCTTTTCTCTTCTCTCCCTCCCCCTCCCTTCCCAAATTTAATTGAATTTTTCTCTCATCATTGCTCAAGTTTCAATTTAGCACTGAGTACCTGGGATGCTTGATTTTCCATTCTTGTGATACTTAAGAGAATGTTCTCCAAATCCATCCAAGCTGTTAGGAAAAAATACAAAATCTCCATCTTTCTCATGGCTGAATAGTGTTCCATGGTGTATATATTCCCCAGTTTGTTAATCCATTCGTGTGTTGAAGGGCACTTGGGTTTCCACATCTTTACTATTGTAAATTGGGCTGCTATAGTGCAGTGTCCTTATGATACAAGACTTTTTTCTTCTGGTTAGAAACCTGGTAATGGGATTGCAGGATCAAATGGAAGGTCTCCTTTTAGCTCTTTGAGGAGTCTCTACCCTTCTTTCCACTGCACCTGCATATATATTTTATCACAGCACAGACTCTGTTTCAGAACTTCTGTAACCAAATGCTCAGATGTGCTCCTGAGACAGGCATGCTGCAGAAATGATGTTTGGGGGACTGGGATAAACTCAGTTCAACTGTGTGGACCTGTCACCCTGCTTCTGGGACGCTGCCCTTAGGGGACTGCGGCTGAGCTGTTCTTCCCTAGTTGGCACAGAACGCTGAATGGGACCTGGTATGCCCACACTGCCCTCTCTCTGGTGGCCGTTAGCTGTCAGCTGAAGCCCAGGGTGGGCCTGAGTATCTTGTGATCTCGACATGAAGACATAGTCTCCCAGCACAGAAGGAGAAGGTGGTACTGGGGGACCCTGACTCAGGACAGGGACTGTGAACTGGTCCTGGTAGTTTCTGAGGGCAGACGGTTGACACAATGGACCCAGGTTGGTGTGGGCATCAAGGAGGACGGCTGGAAGAGGGAGTGTCTGCTATAGGAAAAAAGCTAAAAGCTTGCAAGTGCACGGAGAAGCCCCCTGGTGGAGTACATTGTTTGAATCAGAGCGAGGGCTGTGTGCTGGGACCCAGGCAGTATCACAGAGGGATGAAGATTCTGCCCCTGCTTCCCTGTGATCCTTCTTCTGCACCTTCAAAGCTCAGAAGAACTTGAGCATAAGCTCCCTGGGTTCGTTGGGCAGCCGTTGAGTGAAGAATGGCTGTGTTGGCAGCTCCCAGCCATGGGCAGGGCTTACCCTTGCCCTGGAAAGTGGAGAGAGCTAAACTTAGCAGCGAGAAGGGGCTGCTTCAGACCCTCGCTTCCCTTGCTACTGTGTGCTCTGCTGTGAAAGGGCTTGGTGTGCACCCTGGCATGACACCAGATTAATCTCAGCATGGCACACTTTCCTGACACAGTAGTCTGCCAACAGGAGCAGTCAGCTCCTGCCACCGAGCGCTGTGACTACTTCATGGAGTAGCTCAAATCTTCTGCTGTGACCCTGTTCTTAGGGGTTTGCTAGTAGTCAGCCTTCACCCCAAATCACCAGGTTCTCAGGGAGACTCCTGAGTAGGGCCCAGGGGAGAGGAACTTGGCTCTATCTCAGATCTCCCCTCCCCATCTGAATTACCAGTGGTGTGGGAAGGTTGCCTTCACCCAGGTAGAGAATGCTTCCGGGGAAGTGGCCACTGTAAACTTTCTTGCAAGGCCACCAGAGTTCTCAGTAGGACCTTGGGCAGAGCCCTCAGGACTAGAGAGACATGTGGAATCAGAAGGGGCCCAGTGATGGCTACTGAGAGGTGCAGCTGCCCATCGTGGCTACAGTCCTGTGATCTCATCATCTCAGCAAGGACATGAGACCAAGAGGTCGATTGGATCAAAAAGACTCTTGCACGTGGCTGGCAGGGTGTGACTGTGGTGTGCCTGTTTGGCCTGGTTGACAAAGGGAAGCCGTGTCCCCGAGCTCACTGCTCCTTCCCTGTGGAGGCCTGTACTGCAGTGAGAACATGCCTGTGCATAGGTCGCCCTGGCTGGCTGTGATCAGAGATCAAATGTCCAGCACTTGGTCAGGAGAGGCGTCCTGTAGAAGTGAGTGGGAAGAATGCTGGGAACTGACTGGTTCCTAGGAGGTGGGCTCAGGGCCACCTGTGGGCACATAGCTGAAGTAAGGACAAGATGGGCAGTCAGGACGGCTGACAGTTCATAGGTGGGTCTCTTTACTTCCCATGGTGAAAGCCTGGTGCTCTCTGCCTGTCTCTGGAGCCTCCTTCTTGTCTGTCCCTGGGAGGACACATCCTCTCCACAGTGGACCCTGGGCAGTCAGCCTCAGGCCCCACTCAGCCAGGTGGCGAGCTCAGCCAGATCCCAGAATTAGACACTTTGTCTATGCAAGTTCAGACCACACAATTCTCCTTAAAATACCTGGCTGCTAGAGGGTCTGTGCAGGTGGGGCAGGCTGGGCTGACACAGGCTCAGGAAGGATTCATCAGAATGCCTTAGAGCTGTTGGGGGCAGCTGGAATCGTACCAACTAGGAGGTAAAAACCTTTGGAATATACTCAAAGCATCTAAAATACAAATAAAATTGTTCTTACTCATTTAACTTTTTCTCTGTGGTTACATTTTAATAAAGCCAGCGCTAAGGAATGCATTGGTGGTGAGGACAGCAGAGTGAACCACTGCAGGGGAGAAACTTGCCTACCAGGTGGATTCCCCCAGTACTTTTGTGATTGGTACTTGCACCTTGAAAAATATCCCACAGACTGAACAGTCCCTAGAAATTGGTTTTAAAATGAGGAGCGCTGAAGGGTGGTGTTTCTCCTGTTCCCTGCAGAAACACAGCGTCCTCAGGTGGACAGCAGCGGCCTCCATCCTAACTGCATGTTCTGACTGTCAGGAGTGGTGGCAGGAGGTGCAGTCTCCTTGGAACCATTAACATGATGCTAAGCAAAAAGCAAAATCGATGCTCTGACAGTGAATAAAAATGAAGAAAGAGTCAACTAGGCTTTCTTGCCTAACCACCTGTGCTCTTTTAACCATTAAAAATGGTTTCAGATCCCAGAATAACTTCCATAACCAACTCTGCTATTGAGACACTCATTCGGCTCCATACTGTTAGGGGTTCCAGGATGCCGTGATCTGAGGTCTGGCATGTTAAGAAGACTAAAGGCAGTGAAGACTGGATACATGCTCACGTGCTGTGAGATCCTGCCCCTGTAAATGGGAGACTCAGCCTGTTCAATGAAATTAAAATTATTTTTTCAAACCTCCTGCTTCTAAGCATGTTAACACTAAGATAAAATTATTTTAATTCCATTAGGAATATCTATTTCTTCTTCATCTTTTTTTTTATAATTTGGTTTTTAGCCCAAATAGTAACTTTGA